GGTCACCAAACTCTTAAGTTCAATTTTATTTGAATTTTTTTTTGGGCAATTTTGATTTATTCTCTTGTTTTTCTTCCGTTGCCTTATATTAATAGTTTATATTAATTGAAAGGTACTTGTGCTCTGCCTTGGAAGCCATTTTATATGATTGGATATTAATTTTAATGATACCCCTTACATATCTATAAATGATCATCACACTAACACTTATTTCCCCATCTACTACAAATATGCATTATTTATTTAGATTTTCCACTGCAACTCTTCGTTGATTGTGATTGCTAGTGAAGAAAGGAGCGTTTTACATGGTTGCGCTCATTTTGAATTTGATGAGCCATTGTTATGTTGGCCAATTGTATGTGATAAAAATATTCTCAATGAGATTCAATTGTTCTTTCATTAGTAATGAATGCCATTTATGTGAAACTCCCTTTTATAACCCTCGTGCAACCTAACCCTATTTTGATTTTGATCCAAATGATGCTCAGTGATTTCTTGACATTGTTTGCTGATCTATGGTTTTTGCATGCAGATCATTCTTTTTGCTTCTATTGTTGGTATTCCACCTGGATGGGCTTTTGCCTAGCTTCTGTTTGCGGGTCTGTCACTTTGATTTATATTTGAAGTTCGCTTCTATTTGATTAAAATTGCATTTTAGATGGGATGCGTTAGTGATCCTTACCTAGCTTCTCGCTGTGTTGTTGCATTGTATGATTTCTGCCTCTAAGGTTTAGAGGATTTGCATTCCTGATTTGATCTCAGCAATTGCTTATATTGATTATAAATATGGATTCTTATAGATGTCAAAAAAATAGTTCCAATAATATATTTTCTTTGAGTTAATTTGTTTTCTCTACATGCTTAAGAGCTAGTTTTATGTAATTCTTTCTAGCATGATGCAATTCGTGACTACTAACTTCTGGTGGGGCGTTATCTCCTTGTACTAGTGTAAGCCCTAGATTGCTATTTTGGTGACTGCTTTTCTCTTTTTCTATTATATATTTTTAGTTATTCTTCTATCCATGTAACTGGATTTTCTTAAAACTCATACAATTTGTATTTTTTAAATTGTGTGAGTTTCGAATTGGTGTGTGATTCTTCGTGATATTGAATTTCTAAGAGAAATTTTTATTAGATGGCCATTAACTTATCATTTTTGTAAAATTTTTGTGTTTTTTAATTTTCATTAAAAGAAATTAATCTGTTAAATTAAGAGTTCTATGCTTTAGAGAGCAACAGAGCCAAACGAGGTGTGTTTATTTAATGTCTTTATAAAGCAAGATTATTTTTGTGGTGATGTCTGTACGAAACAAGCTTGTTTTATTCTACACATTAAGGAGCAACAAGTTAAACAAATAAGAGATAAATAAATGCTTGCTCTGCAGTTTGGCTCACTTTTTGGGAGCCATTGGCTCTTTTTTGTTCCAATATGCGTGACTAGAACTTATTATTAATGAATAAGTCAATTTCTTGCAATTACCCATATTGAATGACCTGTAAAGGGAAATGCAGCAAAGCATGCATTTGAAATTGATCGATTTGTGATGAATTATTTGAATTTTTGTATTTTAGCTGCCATCATTATCCCTAGCCTTATCCCAACTATTTGGGATTTTTTATAAATTTTTTATTTTTCATTCAATTCTATTTAGTGGAACATAAGATGTTTAATCTATTATTTGCTAATATTTTATACAAATTCTATCTATATTATTTTAGGTTTGCTCATTTTTCTTATTAATCATTCAACATTATTTTTTTTCTACTTAATTAATAGGTGCGTTTTTTAATTCTTCATTATACTTTTTTCCAACCACTTTGTTGTTATTTTTTCTTAATTTTTTCTCTAGGTTTTTCAGGCATTAAGATTAATATTCGCATTTCTAGGGATTTTTTATTTTTTTTTGCTACCCACTCATTTTTAGATAACATAGTTTGGCTGTATGAAAATAAAATTTGTCTTGAAGTTTCCATATTGTTCTCCTATTGCATAACACTCTTGAAACATTTATTTTAGCCACATAGTATTAACTAGTGTTATTAGAAGTGAGCTTTAAAGTCTGTTTCAGGAGTGAAAATTAGTGATGCACTGGATGTATGCAAGGATTTCTTGCAAAGCTGAAGCTCAGAGTAAAATGCATGCATTCTGCAACTTTATCCCATCACATTGAAGCGCTGCACTTTTAGCTTTGGATCAGAACAAAATAATAGTTTTGATTTCATGTATTTGGCGTACTAATATTCACTTTCCTCATTAATTGTTGTAATCATTGAACCGTTGCTTGTTGCTTTTCCATTCTCTTCATTTGGAGCTAGTCGCTTCTTAGTGTTTCTGTTCTCGGTGAGCTCACTAACCAGTTTTTAATATACTTATCGCTGATTATTGCTGCTGGCACTAATACATTCTTGCTAACAAGCGTCTTGTGAACTTTTTTTCAGGTGTATCTTCTCTAAACTACTCCACGTCATCTTTACTCTCTATTTTATTGTTCATGCTGTCTTTATCCATGGTCTCTAACTAGCCTAACTAGCCTCTTAGGGTCTATTGGGGATCAATTTTTTTTATTTATTGTTTTTATTTTTGCTTTTTTTTAAAATAGTTTTGGTGTATTTTGCATATGTTTTTATTTTTTTCTTAACAAATCATTTAAGAACACACAAAACTTAATATTCTTAAAACCGGATGATTTGTTTTGAACATATTTTATATGTTTCATTTTAAATCAAAATATAAACCAAATAAAATTGAACTAAATAATAGAAAAACAAAAAGAATTGATCTTAAATAGCCTATTAATCTCATGAATATTCTTGTTTCTTAAGTATTTTTTTATAATTTCATATTTATATATTTGATTATTATTTTGGCTTTCAAAATGTTAAAAATTACTATTATTGAATGTAGTATTATATTTGCCAAAAATTTCTAGTTATTGTGACTTAATTTCGGTTAATTAATTAATATTTGTATGCACATAATATATGTAGTTTTGATATGCTAATCATGTACATTATATTTAATAAAAGTTGGTTTTTTAGAATTTTGTGCATTGAAGCAAAAGGGAATCCGTGTGTGCATTTTAAAAACACTAGTATTAATTCGAAAATTGATATTATCATTGCTCGTGGTTTTTTATAATTTGATTCATGATACTCGAATTTATAACACCTAAGTATCATTTGATCTTCTAGTACAATTGATTTAATTTCATAACGACTAAAATTGCATGTGGTATACACACACACATGATTTTGTTTATTTTATTAGTTTTAATCCCTTTATTTACTAAATATTTTTTTACTTGTTCAATCGTTTAATCTTTTTCAATAAAATTGTCTCATCTATAAGAAGTATGCCATCTATGGAAAGCATAAATTAAGCCACTTCTTGATCCTTTTTGAGTATCTTCATAAATAAATATATATATATA